TGCCATTTATAGCAATTTGATGAAACGTTGAGACTTTTACAGTTTACAGGTGCTACAAAAAAAAGAATACCCTGTTTTTTATTTAAATGATTGCATTATTGTTAACATGATAATCTGTTAGCATTTTTGTATAAGTTATACTTGACTGCAAAAAAGTACAATTGAAAAAAAATGAAATGTACAAAGCCTCACTCTGATGATTACGAAACACGTTTACCACCGTTTTTTAATATTTTTGCTCGACTTTTGTATAGAAACAAAAACGTTTTATATGCTTTACGTTGAGAAAAAAAAAAACATTCCTCATTTTCCGAAACAGAAAAGTGCCATAAAATAGGGGGGGGGGGAATTTTCCGAAGAGTTCAAAGCCCCAAAAAGGATGGCATGTGTTTCTTGATTAAAAGACTCAATAAGCCTCTGTTCTAATGATTTCACACTTTGTTTACATGTGCACTTTCATATGAAGCCAGTGAGGCCAACGGTCTACTGAGCACCATAGGAAAGCACACACATAAACAAAGTGTGACGTTATTAGCACAGAGGCTTATTCAAGAAACTCACTTTGAAAATATCAAGTATACAAAGTAAACATTCCAATCGAGTGAGGAGAGTTTTTGGACTGGTTTGAATTGTTCATTTGATCCAATAAGCTGCCATCAGATGGGATAATTTTCTATTATTTTAACTTAAATGTCTTTGTTGACTTCTACTGTGATACCAAATTTTGAATGAATAATTTACCACAACCTCTCTCATGGGTGTGGATCATATTTTATTGTATAATAAAGTTAAAATTAACACATTCAACATTTTAACACAAAATATCCTCTTCGGTTTTTAGAATTTGGAAACCTTCGTGAGTAGATGAGCGAAAAGTGGCACATATTTGGGGTCGCCTGATTGAAAATTTATTATTGAATTATGTAATCTTATTATGAATGCGCAGGATGAGGAGTTATAATTCACATGTGACCCACAACCTGACTGAATAAATTAAAATAAGGAAATTTCTGGTCACATTTTGCTGAAATACTTTGTTCCAGTAGAAATGTTTGATTGTGAAATGAGGTTTTGTTAGATTATACATAATTGGTTAATAGTTGTGAACAAGTTTTGTGTTGACAAAGTTATTGCCTGGCGGTCTTGTGAGAAATTACAATTATTGAAACTTGAACAAAGTCAGTTTATATCAGGCCCAAGGCATAAAATTACAAACAAAATCTATCTCCATCAAATGCTGGAGTTTTTCAATTGAGGATTCATGCGGTATTTCTACAATTTGAACTCCAAAGTAGTTACAAGCTTACAGTGACGACTCAAAACTATAAGAAAAGAATAATTTGATATAAAACTTCTCTAAACCCTATTACATTAGCTTTTGAACATGTGGAAACTATCTACGTCTTCGGCTGGACTTCATTTATGCTTCAAACATGTTTGATCGTTCAACTGAAAACAGTTATTGATATCGTGTGTCGTAGCAACGTATCAAATCCCAATCTTACTTTTGTGGGAAAAAAATTATCACAAGTTCTCAAATCTGCAATGATTGTTAAAATTATAATCGTATTAAAAGTCTGTCGTTCGCCTTGTAATGCTTTATGGTTTGATATTTCGACTTCTGGCAGGTCATGATGATTACATACATGTATATAAATTGAAAGAGTTTAATTTGTATAAATGATTGTTCATGATTTATTACAATGTGGGTTGTTAAATGTGACACTATCACAGAGAGAAGATTAACATTTTCCCCATCGCTTGTCAGTAACACAGTAGTAGTTAATAATTGCTTTAAGAAAAGGATTGCTTACTTTCAAGTACAGCTGATTATATCGCTCTCTTTGACAGCTTAAATATTTGACAACACGAAGTAATCAATCTGATAAATGTCGAATATAACTACTCAGGAAATGTACTAAAACAATAAGAGAAAATATCTCGAGCTTTTGATCACTGCAAAAACGCTTTTTAAAACTCCTTCGGCTGTACTTTATTTAGGGTGCCAAACACTTTTGAAATACACTCTATGTTTGGAAGACGTCAATTGAATTCACGGGGAGTAAAAGCTCAAGACATTTTAGGGCGTTTACTTAATTTAGAATCATTTGTGACTCATAAACTCATTTCTTACAAGTGCGTATATTGAATGTGTAAACTGAATAAAAAAACCATTGCCTATCATTAAAACTATTGCCGATATTGTCCATCATGTACTTAGGATCAAGCTGTAGCATGTTTTGATATCTTGAAAGCCAGGATGATCAATATTGTGATGAGCCTAAATGTCGGGTGAAGATTTGTAGAGGATGGGTGGGTTTGAGGGTTAGTTGAATTAAGGCTGATGGGGTTGAAGATAAGGGATTGGGAATTTACGGTTGAGAAGTTCGAGGATGAGGGTTTCGGGTAAGTGGGGGTCGGGAACGGGTTGGGGACAGGTTGGTGTCGAGGGAGGGGGCATGCTCAAGCCCCACCCCAACAAACCATTTTATTTACTTTCAGTAATCAAACAAAGAACAAGATAAAACCACCATATCAAACACGATGATGTCTACTCATTTAGCTTTCCTACATTGATTCTTGAAATCCACCGATCCTTTAAAAAGTCCGCGACCCCGCGCCTTTTTTGGAATAGCCAACTTTTTGAACATTGGGCCCTATTAATTTTAATCTTCCCCTCCCCCTCACCCCCGCCCCCCCCCCCAAAAAAAAGGTTATAGAATAGATCCACCGGTGAAAGGCGGGGGGAGGGGTCGGGCTTAGTTTGGGTTTGATAGTACGGCAGAGAGGTAATGGGGTCCTTTGATGATACAAGTGTGGAATTTGGCACACATCCAGAGTATGTCATGAGAAAGATATGTGGTTATTTGGCCATCGTAGAATTGCCATTTGAAAAACAAAAAAAGTTATATAACAACAAAAGGCCGCCATTTTGAAAATTTTGAAAATTGCATATTTTTGCAATATTTTCTTCAAAGGACAAATCTGCGATGCTGTATCGTAGCCAAATATCGTTTTCATGACAAGAGCAAGGATATAATAATCAGAATTTTGATTTTTCAAATCAACACACAAACGGGCAGTGTACAGTGACGATTACGATGCAAACCCCTTCTACATTTGTTTGAAGGGGCGTTATTCACGAGACGGCCATAATGAAGTAAAAGCGAGGTAAAATCGTCATTTTTGGAACTTGCGAATAGAACGGAAAGCAAGTAAATTACTAATAAATTCAAGTCTGCTTCAATGAATAATTTAAAATGTGTATTTAAACATTCCCTAATATTTTAAGCCAATTTTAAAGGAAAATGACAGTAAAATAAGGCCGCATAAATAGTCTGGCGCCATCCTATTAAACAGTTAAGAATTTATAAAATACATTCAGGGAACTTAACAAAAATGGCCAACTCGTGCATAAGGCTCATTACGTAATCGTTTTCTGCTATTTAAATTGGTGAGCGCCCTCTTAGTTGTGTAAACCAGTTCGCGCGCTTTCCGCTGATCTTCATGTTTTTTTTTGGTCGAAGACCAAGAATAAACATCACTCTCTTCGTTCCTGAACAGGTAACGATCTTTTTGTATATGTTACCTCATTCTTTCCCTTAATTATAACATATTAATTCACAGTAACGTATAATATCCTTAGCTTTCATTGGTATTGCTCTTCGGTCATTACTGTGTAGATTTTTGAAACATATGACCAGATATTGATTTACTTGCTATCCTTTATGTATTTAAGAAATATTTGTATTTTGAAGATTGATTCTGTTTTCGGCGAAGATCAAGTAACAACCAATCTTTTGTGCCTCAACAAAATCAATGTAGGCCTACAAAGTACAAAAGAACAAATGAACAAAATACTTATCATCAAAATATAAAATAGTCATCAAAATAGTAAATACAAAACGGATGCATAAATAATTAAACAGTAACCCACGGTTCGCGCCTGAATTCGGGCAGCGTCCGTACTCATGGAGGTCTGTGGGCAACAAGTTAGTATGTTCTTGGCAATTTTACAGATACAAAGTTTAAACAAAACTTGTTAATATTAGAAAAAAATCTCTCTTTAAGGATTAAATTAATGTTACCTTTACGTGCCATTCTCGGGTGGGCAAGTATTCTTTTCGTTATTAAAATATAAGAACATTAGTTAATTAAAATTAGCTCATATGATTTTTTCTTTTTATTATAATATTTTTATTGGATAATGATGTTTACCTTTTGCACTGTAAAAATATATTTACTTTGAGAATTTAATTTTTAATATAAAAACCCAGTTTACTTACGTATATTTAATATATTTTTAATTATTGGTATTACTGTCTCACTTTAAAAAAAAATATATGGAGCAGTCAATCCACAAATATTAAAAATACTAGCCCTTTTTTTAGGTGTGCAAAACTTACATCATATGGGTTTGAAAGTATAGGTAATACTCTATACCATATTCTTTATCCCACTCATTTTGACACCCCAGTCCAGAGATGCAGCTTATTAAATGAAGGGACTTGAATTCCAAGTTGTGCGACTTTTCAGATTATCTGGTGTCTAATGAAATGCATCATTTTGATACACCAAGAAGGTATGTTGTTTCACATCAAAGGAAGGTGTGTTGGATTACGTAAACAGTAGGAACAAAATGCAAGCTAATCCATGCCAATTCGACCAAACATTGATTGGTACTTCACAATTAAATTCAATTTCAGGTGTTACGCCTATGCAGTAGATCAATACTTCTGCTTCCACAGATGGCTGGCCAAATTTGCGGCACAGGTTTCAGTGGATAAAGGGGTTCTTATGGTAGTTTGTTACTATAAAACTTAAAATATTGCAGAGACCTTCCGACAGTTTACATTGCAATTCCCTCATCCAGAGTACCAAGCAGAACTACGAATATAATTTCTCCAGTTTTCTCTGACCTCAATTTTGTTTATCTCATCTTTCCCTATTATTTTCTATATTTTTTTGGATTTCCTTTTTTTTTCTTCTTTTTTTTACAGATGAACAATTGCATGGCAATCATTATTTCAATCGCCCTTCTTCTGGGTAACTCTGTCAAGCTCCGAGCTTCCGTTACTGGGCCAGTTCCCTCGGACGGTGATGGTCCTGCGTCTCAGGTGTGTCAGCAGTGCTGCCAGGGACCTGCTGCAATACCCGGCATACCAGGTCTGCCTGGGCCAGTAGGACCGATGGGGCCGTACGGTCAGCTGGGGTCAAAGGGCGATGCGGGTCAGCAAGGTCAGAAAGGTGAGATTGGAAAGATTGGACCTATGGGTGATCGGGGAGCACCTGGGAACACTGGGTCTAAAGGTGATTATGGGATTGGTCTGCCTGGCAAGATAGGTCCCAGAGGTATACCAGGTATCGTTGGAAGAATCGGAGAAACTGGTGTCAAAGGTCAGAAGGGTGAGCCAGGACAAACACCAGACGACTCCAACCAGCGGGTAGCATTTACCGTGGTGAGGACGAGTACCTCGGATACCTCTACGAGTCACGACACCCGTTTGCCATTCCAGGAGACCGAGACGCTTTTGCCAGGTACCAGCTTCGATCTCGAGACTGGCACATTTACCTGTACAGTGCCGGGCACCTACGTGTTTACATTTTCTGTGCTTTCACACAGTATCCTGTACATACATCTGAAGAAAAACAACGACTGGGTTGTCACTGGACATAGCGGGGATTCAACTATTCAAGAGCAGGTGTCTGGGAGCGCGGTGCTGGTGCTGCACCGTGAAGACACGGTGTATCTTACCATTCACGGTCGGGCGGGTAGTAATTCATATCGCTACATTTCATTCAGTGGCTTCCTCCTTTACCCCGAATAGTCAAACACAATAACCACGCCTATTATATACACGATCACGCGCATCGCCGAATTTTCAATCGCTCCACCGTCTATCCGAAACAATATCTAATTAATGAGTAAGTGTAAAATTAAAATTCTTTCAATTTTATCAAAATAATTCAGTTGAATACTGTGTTACATGAACTTTAATAAGTGCATACGCAGAACAGTTTTACGGCATTGGATTAACACATGGTTTTGAATGCTTAATAGTAGCACCGTATGGTATCGTTTAAGTAACATTTAAAACAAATCTTACAGCCTACTTAAAAGTACTGAAATTATATTATCCTGATTGAAACGTTTGTATGTGTGTCTAATAATGTAGAAATAGAAGAGTTGTCATTAAAAAAAAAATCGTATAGTATGTTTTTCCTTTTTTTCTCGAATAAGGTAAACATTACATTCACTGTCAAGCATACATTGTTATTTGAGAGATACTCCTGTATATTCAAATGCATTTTGGTCATGGATTTTTTTCTTTATAGGAAATGAATTTAAAATCCGACTAAGCAGGCGACGATTAGTTTACCAAAGTTCAAATTCAAAATAAATACAAATCAATAAATCTGTCACTTGTAATTACCATTCACCTGAAAACAAACGTATCGGTTGCCCTTTTGACAAGATGCGCTGAGAGATTGCGAACGTTCACTCAGGTTTCTGAGTTTTGTTGTTTGATCATGCATGCCTCAGACATCAGCACAAAACTGATTTCCCAGTAACTTCTCTCTAATCATCCGAACTTCACTTACCAGATAAGGAGCTCAAGGCTCTTCCTTGGGCGGGCGTGGACACGCCCCATTATCATTTTTGAAATTCACAAGTTTTGATGTTTGTAATAAGCTTACATTTTAATTGCACAATATGACCCATAACATTCTCAAGTGTCATCATTTATTGTATTATTTTCCTCCCGTGATTTGTTTAATTGCAGCTATAGTATTGACTGTGGGAATTCGTATCAAATAATTGTTTTTGATTTATTGCAATGTTTGTTTTTAAATGTAACACTATTACAGAAAGAAAAACAATTGGTGTCTAACGCTTATCAGGAAGGGCCTTTAACACAGCAACATGCAGTTTATAATTGGTCCTCAAAAAGTGTTTCTTAATTTGTTTAGTACATTTTGATTATTATAGCTCTGTTTGGCAGTTTCAATAAATTACAACACAAAGTAAAAATAATAATGCGATACGTATCGAATACAACTACTCAGAAAATTTAAATAATTAATAAAACTCCAGCTTTTGATAATGTGGAAAACTACATGCCGCGTTTTTAAAGCTCCTTCGGCTGGACTTCATTGGTACCAAAAACCACGCTTGTTTTACACTCCATGTTTTGAAGAATTCAATCGAATTAACGGAAAGTACAAAGACTTTTCAAACATGGCACTTGGATTAAAACGATTGTTACAGTAAAAAATGATGAGATATACTGATCTGACTCTCGCGAACACATTTTTTAGAAGTAATGTTTAATCTGTAATTGATTTATCAATAAAGCTTTACTATTAAAAGTATTGCAGACAAAGTCCAGTTGTTTATTGTGTATGTTTTTGAGGTTTGAACTTTTTGCAAGTCAGGATGATTAAATTTGGGGCTGGCGTTAAAGATCTGATGCAGAGGTTGGGTTGAGGGTGGGTGGGGGTACAGTTAGGGTCGGTGGGCAGAGGCGTAAATCTGTATAAGCGAGTGGGGGGGGGGGGCCTAATGCTATTGCCAGCAAACCGTGGAAATTCGATAATCGGTGGAGGATGGACAGCAGGCGACACTAGGGGGCGCTGTTGAGGATAAAAATGCACGCGCAGTGCACACAATACGCGCTTACGTCCATTAACATAATGGCGTGTGTGTTGTTTGTTCTTTTTTGTATTTACCTAAACGTATTTGTTTGATTATTTTTGTTATTCTCATCACAACACTCGGGGGGGGGGAGTGATCCAATGGCCAATCATTCCCCTTATTAAAATAAAGTGTGGGGATAAATCCTTCCTAACACTACTCCCTGATTTACGCCCATATTGTTGGGAGTGTATGGGTTGCTAGCTCTATTGTTGGTGGGGGTATAATGTGGGCAGTGGCGTATCTAGAAGGGTCCACTCGCCCACCAACGCTGCAGCACAAGAACAGGTTGAGAAAATTTACGAGTCCCTTACAGAAGCAGTAATGGGAGTGCCGGCTCACATTTTCTTGATAATACTGGGCGACTTCAACGCTAGAATGGGCCCTGAAGATGCACCGTTCACTTATAATGATGCTACGAACAGAAAAGGAGCACTGCTAGCCGAGTTCATATCGGGAAAGATGTGGACCTCCCAAGACAGAGGCATGGAGATGAGGCGTCAATTAGACTACGTCCTTCTAATGCGGAGCAAGTGCAGGAACATCATTCTGAATTCTGAATCGTGCTCGTCATTCAAATCCGTCGGCTCAGACCTCAGAGTAGTCTCCAAGAGGGTGCGTCTAAGTCTCAGAGTACCAAAGCCGAGCAGTAGGACTAGGTATAACGGGAAGGAGTTCTCATCCCGCCCTGATATTCAAAAACGCTACACGGTGGTGATGCGCAACTACTACCAGTTGATAGAGGAGCAAGAGGACCCTACTGAGAGGACGAGATAGTGGAGTGGTACCTAAGAAGGAGAGGGTAAAGAAATCTCTTCTGTCGAAGCACCCAGACATCGCAGCTGCGAGAGAGGCTGTCATACAGGCACGCCTGTCCTGCGACAGAGGCCACAATGAAGAGAACAAGCAAGCTAATAGGGTGGAAAACAACATTTGTTCTACACCTATGATCGACTAAAACAAAGAGGTCCTCAATGAAAACACTCAAGCAATCAGTTATGGTAAGCCCATGTCAGCAACGAACTAAGCAGCGCACCAGAGGCCGGATTCGGATGAGTAGGGCAGCAGGGCCGGATGACATTCCACCAGAGGCGTCATTGATCCACTGTTCAGAAACAACCAAAACGGCATCCGTTTGAAGTGCAAAACAATTGCCCAATTCCTAGCTCTAAGACTCATTATCGAGAAAGTGAAATTAAACAACCTAGCAGCAGTATTCACATTTGTATCGATTTCAAGAAGGCATTTTGATTCCATACATCGGGGAATAACGTTAAGAATCTGAAAGGCCTACGGAGTTTTACCCCTATTACTGCCATAGAGTTAATGTACTGTGGCGAAACGAGCTATACACCCTTTGTGGCGGGAATAAGAACGTGACCCGACAGTCTGACCTGATCGAAGGATGGAACTGGACCTGGCCTCAACCCACAACAATATTTATTAACCTCACGCAAGGATGAGCGGTTACCCTGACGCAAGGGGGGATATAGTTAACGAACGGCGGACTAAGCCTAGGGGCTGTTCGTTTGGCGGAAATATACCACCGATCTGCGATTAAGTACTTGACTTTATTGACAGAAGAGGGGACTAACTTATTCAGATATATCCAACAGAGAGCGGGACTACATAAGCTTCACAGTGAACCTCAATAACCCTCACGGGGACAAGTGATTCCAAGACGTTAATCAGTTAGTTTATTCCTTTAGCACACTTCAAATATAATGTCAATGCTTCACCATTCAATAATTATACAATGATAAACCTCACCGTTAAGACAAATCCAGGTAAACCTCTCTGTGATAATCTAGTAAACCTCGCTGTGATAATCTAGTTAACCTCACTGTGATAATCTAGTTAACCTCACTGTGATAATCTAGTAAACCTCGCTGTGATAATAAGCACTAGTAAACCTCGCTGTTAGCTGAGGGGTCAACTGCACCCCTTGTCATTAGCTTAAACAGTTATAATCTTCGTACGGCTCTTGGGTCAACTGCACCCTTTAGCTTATACAATTACAATCGTCTGGTTCAACAGGGGTCAACTGCACTCCCTTATGATTAACTTACACAATTATAAACTCACAGCTTAGCGGGGTACTTCACTTAAGGTAAACCTCACTTGGGTATACCTCACCTATACTTCTCGGGGTCCCTAGTTTATAAAGTGGTCGTCTGCACCACTGACTTAAATAACGGGCTAGTGTTCTTTCACTTAGCACAAAATGACTCTAATGAGGTCTACAATAACAGAATAGAATTATACAATACAACACAGTCCTTGCTACTCGCTTGACCAGTGAATTACACACAAGGGGTAGTTAGTAACGTTGTAACCCACCCGATGATAATAATAGTCCCCTGACGTTAACCCAGTAAACCTTCGGGAAACTCAGGATTCACAGACTTTACAGGGTCGCAATCAACCGTTTCTACGACAAAAGGCACAAACAACGGAGGACAATCCTTAAGTCTGAACTAAGCCTAACTCTTCCCCAACCTTCAGATTTACTCTGGGTCCGACTATTATCTTAACTCAGGCCCTATATTAAATAATCCCGACTTCTTAACAACAATCCACCCCAAATCTTATCCGATAAGACCTTAAAATGCACAGGGGGATGTAAACAACGAAATCCAGCCTTACTGACCAATCGCACCGGGGTGCACGCCGGGCTTTCTCCCACGACGTCGCTCGCTTCACACGGTGAATTCAGCACTTTGCTTCGCAGTGTCGCAACAGGCTTGTTTACACGCTCAGCTCACCGAGGTCTCTAACACGAGTTCTCTACCACGAGTGCCGAACCCACGCCAGGCCACGAGGCAATCGCCCAACACCATGCCGGACGCACGCTGCTGATTGGTCGCCGTGCGCTCTCATGCACTCGATCACGCGGTACACGCCTGCATAATTCATAGCCCATAAGCCTAACGTACATGCAGGACGCGCAGGCTGATTGGTTGCCCCACAGTATCACGCGCTTTAACACGCAGGTTGACGTGATGCTTCTTGGGCTAGACTTGATATCAGTCTACATATACCCCTGTTTCGTTACACAGGCCCCAGCTAAGCTTATTCCGTCCCGGAATAAAAAGCTTAACAAAAAAAATATATACGAAACAGGGCCTAATCTTTATACAATTATAAAAACAATGTTGAATAATACACTAACATTGCGTGAGGTTGACTGAACCTCACGTGTATATGCACACTATAATATACACATTCTCTAATAAACCTCACTGCTGCGAGTGTGAGGTCTACTAACTCTGTACATACAATTGTAATACATGGACGGGGGTGAGGTCTACCAAAACACTTAAATTTGAGGTCTACTGCACCTCGTCTGATATCTACATCTACATTATTACATTCAAAGGGCGATCCATTATGGTTCTTAAATATAAACGTCTTGGTTAATTTTGTTTTTCTCTCTTACATGTAAAATCACTTGCAAAACTATGATAAATATAAAATCTCAGAGTAC